TATATAAGATGGTAGTTCTCAAACTTTAGCATCAGAGTTCTGTGAAAACTCTGTAAAACCCAGATGGCTGGGCCCCTGTCTAGTTTCTGATTCATGGGCCTCCCTGGTGGCGCAAGGGGTTAAGAAGCAACCTATGAAGCCAGCTGCAGCCACTGCAGCATGAGTTTGATTCCCGGTCAGGGAGAGACCCACATGGCGCAGCAGACCTCTCCTGACTTGCCTGCTGCTCCCCTCAGCAATGTACTTCAGTCAGGCTGCCTGTTCTGCTCCCCATTCTGTCTCTGGTAAGTCCTCTCACCCCCAACACCTCTGGCCTGCACCTCAGTTCTTGCATGCATAAATAAATAAAAATTAAAAAAAAAAATAGTTTCTGATTCAGCATGTCTGGCCTGATATTTTGCATTTCTAACAAGGTCCCAGATATTGTTGCTGCTGCCAGGACCGTACTTTGATCTAAAAGATCAAGTGCAAATTTCACCTTGGCCTTCAAGGCCCTCCACAGCATGGCCTCCTATCACACAACTCCCCTTATCTCGATTGCTGCTCCAATCCTAAGCCACCCGTTATCTACTACTTCCCTTTCACACCTCCACACCACTGTCACTGTCCTTACTGTTTGAAACTCTTTCCCACTCTTTATCCACTAATTCCAGTGCTACCTGCCTTGATTCCACAATGTCTAAAAACAAATCCTCAAAAAAAAGGAGGTGGCCCCTTTACAGGTCTATAATGTAACAAATTCAGACTGTAGGGACTGCTATTAAACAGGAGGGGAAGAAATGGTTTGGGCCCTAGAAGGAGCTCCCCCGAAGAAAGGACCAGCGGGAAAGAAAGTATCTGCCTAAAGCCATAACTTAGAGACAGAAAATTCTGGGGTATCTATTTAAACAACCTCCTGACAGTCAAGTCAGGTTACAAACTGTCCTTCTCTATCTGGTTTCCCAGCTCTGCCACTTTCTAGCTGTGTGGCCTGGGGGGAATGGCTCACTTAGCCTCTTTGTTTCTCATTTCTGCTTGGAGATAGAGAATCAGGCAACAAACTCACAGAGTAAAGACTCAGTGATAGAAGTCAAGGAAAACTCAGTTAAAGGCCGAGCACAGAGCAAGCTCTGGATAAATGTTAGCTGTTATCTCTGGAGCTGGGAAAGTCAAGAACTTGACATCTAGCCACAATTAATAATGGAAACAGACACATTAAAGTTTTTTTAACGGGTACATTAATTGGTGATCCAACAAAGGCTGTGAGCTGGGAGGAAGCTGGGAGGCAGATAGCCAGGTGGGTGTTGCAGGCAGGCAGCTGGGAAAACTCCTATGTATAATTCAAAGTGGTTCTGTGAGGCTTGTTTGGTAATGAACACTTAAAAATCCTCCTAAGGACTTCTCACAGAACACAAAAATTCAAAGACATCCATCCCCGAGCTGCTTACAACAGGAGGGGGAAAAAAAGAAAACTATCTAAATGCCCAACCATAGGGACTGGCTTAGTCAGAAGATGGCATTTTATAGACTAATAAAAAATAAAGACACAAGTGTTTCCCTCCTAACATGGAAGCACGTTCTTAATATACCTTAAATATAAGAGTGAAAGGTTAAGAAAAAGGTATGGTACACATTCTGTGTTAGGGTTGAAAAAAATACATTTGAAATGTTATCAGTGGTTATCTCTGGTATAAAAATTTGGAGTGCACATCTTTTTTGGTGGTTTATTCTTTTTTTTTGCTTTTGCTTTGCCATATACTCTCATTTCCCCCTGATGACCTACATTGAATGCATGTTTAATTTCTTTTTTTAAAAAAATTCATTATTTATGCATACAAGAACTGGGGTACATATGAGAGGTCTGGGGGTGAGAGGATTTCACCAGAGTGGGGATTAGAACAGGCAGATCTACTGAAATACACTGCTGAGGAGAGCAGCAGGCGAGACAAGAGAGGTCTGCTGCGCCATGTGGCTCAGCTCCCTCGCTGGGGATCAAACTCATGTTGCCATGGCTGGAGATAGCTTGATAGTGATGGAAGAAAGGAGATACAAGGTCAAGAACCTAACTCACACAAGGAGTAGGGGTAGAGGGGATTAGCATAAGCCATTAACCCAGTTATAGAAACTAACACCCTTAGGCATCAAGGCCCAGATCAGGAGGCGCAACACCCAGAAACTATCAGACTGCTATAGGGAGTGTCGGCACCACAAGCCATCCACCCACAAAGAAGAGCCCCTCCCTGAAGATAATAAAACTTACTCTGCCCCCACAATGGGGCAGCAATCTTTCTGCCCACCTGTGACTATGCAGGTGCTTCTTTCACCAACTCTCTCCTCCGCAGGGCAGCAGCTTCCTGCCCGCCCATGACCTGTACTTGCCAGAGCTTCTCTTCACTGACCTCCCTCAGCAGAGGCCGCTCTCCTCAAGGCTGCCCGCCTGCAACCATGTAGGCCTCTCTCAGCAAACCTGTTCCTTAAGGGGCAGCTCTTTCTGCTCGCTTATGTCTAGGCAAGTGTCTTTTACTCTTCTGTCCCTTTCCTAATAAACCTGCTCTTTAAATACAACTAACATCTCTGCCTCGTGGAGGAACTCGCCTGGGAAACTTGCCGCGTGCCCCTGAAAGGGGAGCTCTGGTGCAACCTTTCCCAGAGTGAACCCAAGGACCCCGCACTCTAAACCCACTGACTCCAAAAATGACATCAACAGCACTGTGTCTTTAACCCTGTGCCACCAAGAAGGCCTGCTTAATTTCTTAAAAGAGGAAAACTTTTAAAAGCAGCTCCCTGCTCAGGACAGAGAACAGGCTATTTCATCGGCCTCAGTTGTATGACACGAGCAAGGGCCCTGGCCTTTCTGTGGTTCTAACCCCTCCTGGGAAAAGGGTCACTGGTGTCCCTGCCCTGCTCACTCCCAAGGTGCCTGACCATTTATTCCCCCCTCCATGATATCCAGGAAGCTCCCCAAGGAGAAGTGTAACAGCAGCAAGGGACGGAGCAGGATCTCTATGACCCGAGCAGACAGGGTAAAGGAGGAGTGATTCCTGGAGCCCTCGGTGGCTTTTGCAGGCTTTTATTGGGATTTACCAGGCACACGGCAGGCAGGGGTGCCGGGGGTGGCCAGGAGGCTGGCAGGCCTCCTGGCCTCCAGCCAGTCTTCACTCTTTCTGAGCTCTCTGGCCTTCTCTCATGTTCTCTCTGCTCTCTCATTGTTCTTCTGTTTGTTCTCCTTCTCTGCTGGCATCTCCGTGACGCCGCCCTTATAAGCCCAGTCTTAGCCCAGGTGAATCCCATCTACATATGCCCACACCCTACTCCAGGGGGCTGCCATCAGGCATGCATTTGGGACAACAGGGTTCTGTCATCTATCCTAATGGTGGGAGGGCAGAAAAGCCTGATACTTTTTACCTGACCCTACAGAAGCTTAGGAGGCCAAGGAGAGGGTCCTCTGCCCGGAGGGCCATCAGTTTTAGTGGACGGACCTCTGGGCAGGGGTGCATGGCCAAGTTCTCACCTCCACCCCCCAGACACTGGCAGCTTTCATTTCTGTGAAACAAGAGGAATAACCTTCAACAGTGGTTTCTAATTGCCTTTGGTTTTCTTAAACAGCCAGATCCTGTTGTCCAGTAAAACAGCTTTCCTCAATAAGCATCAGTAATTCTGTGCCTAGAAATCAGGCATGCTGCCCAAAAAGCCAAGCCAGAATCAATTTCCTATTATTTTAAGTGGGAAAAATTATAAAGCATTACAGTTTAACTCCAAACTCCCCACTAATCTCCTAAAAGATAACAAAAACACATAACACCCCACCCATAACAATCATGATAGGATGTAAATAAAATGCTTCAAACATCCCTCCTTACCACTGGACAATTATCAACCATGGGTAATGACCGTGGCTGAGGCACGTGATCTGGGCTGTTCCTAGGCCCGCATCCAAATACCAGCCCCTGCTGACCCCTAAACCCTTTAACCAGCTGGACAGGTGATTGTGACAGCCTTCCAATTACAGCTAGAGTTCACGCGAGTCTCTGGACACATGAATATGATGTTTGGCACATAAAACATTGGCTGCAAAAAGCTTAGGGAACTTGTAGGGAGTTTGGATCTACTAAACTGAGAGGCATTAATACTAGGAGACATTGATGGGGGACACTCATGCCAGGAGAAGAGGGGAACACTGCAATTCCTCTAAACATTTTGCGGGTTGACACCGTATTAGGAATGGGAGTTTGGAGCTGCATCCGCACTGTGCACATTAAAATATGAGGTTGCTGATGGAGAAAGAGGGGCTGGTAAAGGGCCTGCTACTGTATAATAACAAGGCTATAATAAGCTCACCAGCACTCACCCCACTCTTGTGTTTTAAGCACCTCTCATGAATGACCTCACTTAATCCCTGTAACAATTCTATGAGCTACATGTTATTATTTTTAAAGATTTTATTTATTTATACAAGAACTGGGGTATAGGTCAGAGGTGTGGGAGGGTGAGAGATTTCACCAGAGACACAGCAGGGAGCAGAACAGGCAGACGGACCGAAGACATTGCTGAGGGGAGCAGCGGGCGAGGCAGGAGAGGTCTGCCACGCCACGTGGGTTTCTCCCTGGCCGGCCGGGAATCGAACCCACGCTACAGAGGCTGCAGACAGCTTCACAGCATGGTGCTCAACCTGCTGCGCCAATGGGGAGGCCCTTTATGAGCTACATATTATTACCCCCATTTTACAAATGAAGAATCCGAGGCACAGAGAGGTCAAGAACTTGCCTAGAGTTGTCCGACTTGTAAGCAGCAGAACTGGGATCCAGGTCGGGGTTCAGCAGTAGAGCCTTATAGATCCCTCCTGCTCTGAACGACTATCCCCCCCATTGCCCAAAGGGGACTCTTGGGAGAGCAAGGAATGCAGAGTTCCCCCACTACCTTCCCTTGCCCCATTTCTAGCCATCAAAGCAGACACTTAGAAAGAGCCGAGGGCCTCAGGACTAGGCCACAGGGCCGGGTGGGGGCGTGGACGGCACCCTTACCCACAGCTTCGCATCAAAGTAGTAGGCTCCCAGCAGCTTCACGATGTAGGGGTGGTCACAGGTGGCCAGGATCTCAATCTCTACAATGTAGTCCTCCAGCTCCTCCTCACTCTTGGTCTCAATTACTTTGGCAGCAGCCAAGGCACCCGTCTCCTTGTTCTTGGCCTGCAAAGCAAAGGTCAGCACCAAGGTCAACAAGGCACATTGGGCAGGAAACACACCCCTGGAAGCCAACTCAGAGTATGTGTGAGTGGAAACAGAGGCCGGATGTCCAGAGGGGGGTGGAGAGGCTGAAGCTGGAGAGCCGCCATTCCTCACAGTGGCAAGGGCGGCAAGCTGCCTCAGCAAAGAGGTGCACGCATGACAAACAGTGGTCCAGGCTAGTAGTAATCATATTTTTAAAGTACAACACACCCAAACTATGGGGTGAATGGCATACAAATACCAACACAGAAAGATCGTTGAGTTGTTCAGCCAGAAATCCCAGTCTCTGAATAATAAAAGTGGCACAACACTTTTTATATAGGAAACAGACAACTATGTTTTCTTATCAGTCTTGTGTGTATGTAAATATATGGAAAACTCTGGAAAGATACTGCCTGACCCCATTTTAGCAGACCTAAAATGGGGAGATTCAACTTTCATGCTCTCTTTAGTGTATAAAAATGTTAATAGCTAAGGGCCTCCCCTGGTAGCACAGCAGTTGAGCGCTGGGCTGCGAAGCTGCCCGCAGCTTCTGCAGCGCCGGTTCAATCCCCAGCCACCGGTTCAATCCCCGGCCACTGGTGAAGGTTCCACATGGCATGACAGACCTCTCCTGCCACGCCTGCTGCTCCCCTCAGCAGTGTATTTCGTCAGCCTGCCTGCTCTGCTCCCCGCTCTGGCGCTGGTGAATTCTCTCACCCTCCCACGCTTCTGACTGTACCCAGTGCTTGTATAAATAAATAGATAAATAATTTTAAAAAATGTTAATAGCTAAGTTTCAAGCATTTATTTGCAGCTTTCAAGAACAGTCAAAGTAACAAGAAAAAGGCTTAACGTTTGCCCACCAATTACAGTGGTGTTGCTTCCTAAATACATTTCCCTGGGTATACTAGTTGTCTATTTGATGATAAAGGGTGACAGTTTCATACCTACTAAGATGGTCGTAATTTTTAAAAATAATGGAAAATAAATGTTGCCAAAGATGTGGAAAAACTGCAACCTTTGTGAACTGCTGATGGGGATGTAAAATGGTGCCCAAACTATGGAAAACAGTTTGGCATTTGCCCAAAAGGCGAAACATAGAATCAAGTGTGACCCAGCAATTTCACACCTAGGTAAGTAGGCCTTTGAGCAAATATTTGTACACTAATGTTCATAGCAGCATTAGTCACCAGAACGCAAGGCAGAAACCAACCATGCCCCTTCAGCAGATGAATGGATAAAGGAAGCATGGCGCATGCAGTGGAATATTACTGACCCATAAAGAAGGAAATTCCTAAGCGTGCTACAATGTAGAAAGACCTTGAAGACATTATACAATGTGAAATAAGTCAAACATACAAAAACAGAGACACTGGTCTTTGTATGAGAAAGACCAGTGTCTTTGTTCTTGTATGTGATATCTGGACTGATCAAGTCACAGAGACAGAAAATGCAATAGAGGTTCCCAGGAACTGGTTACCAACAGGAAATGGAAAGTTAGTACTTGATGGGGACAGAGTTTTTGTTGGGTTCTGAGTACAGATAGTGGTGATGGTTATAACACTGAGTACTTACTTAATGTCCCTCATTAATGGCTAAAATGATCAATATTATGTATGTTTTCCCACAGTTTCAAAAACTGAGAGAGAAACAATCATGTAAATGGTGCAAGCAATTCCACCCATGATGATCTGGTATCCAATGTGAACAGAACCCACAGCTCTTTTTGGTAGCCCAGTGAGCCTTGGGGTGCTGCTAGGGTCCCAATATTTAGAGTGCACCTCCCAACAACATGGCTCCAGGAGTGGGCTTCTCATTTGGAGGCTCTGAGTAGGACCTATGGGAAAACACAAGGCAAACAGGCCAGACTGCACCCCATGAGCCCCAGGGCTCTTCTCTTCGGTGCCTGATGCCTCAGTGAGGAGGTCTTACTCCCACGTTACAGGTCGACCCCTGCTGCCTGATCCACTGGAGACACAATGGCCAAGGTGCTGCCGTGCACCTAATGCCCCCGGATGTCAAAAGGCACTCACATTCCACGACACGTCCTGTAATCATCACTTAACTGGTACCCAAGTTCCCTGTTCTATAAACAGGCAAGTCCAGGCCAAGAACTAGAGCAGTGGCATCAGAATTGGATCTGGGTCCTCTCACTTCCAACATCCTGCGCACTTGGTGCTATTATATCAGGTCTCCCTGTCAGCTCCAGAACTCAGAAACCTCTAGGAGCAGCTGCCAACAGACCTGTCAGGCACCTAGCCAGCCCTCCCAGGGTACCCTCAACACGGAGACACAGTGATGCTCCCCTGGCCTCAAGGAGAGCCAGGTTCACTGGAGAGAACCACCCTCCTACGGCCTGTGGTAAGGCCGCCTGCTTATGGGGGGTAGGGGTGAACTGAAAAAGGGCCCTGAACTCCACCAGGGAACATTCTGGGAGGGATGCCAATAGGCAATTTTTACATTTGTCTGTAAGTTTATCCCCAGTTCTGATAAATGTTTCTGTTAATTGAGCTGCAGGGCCCCCGGGGTCCCACGGAACAATGGTTTCACATTTATCAAGGGCAAGCTCTGCACCCGCATCTCTTCTCAGCCACCCCAGGAAGTGGGTGCAGTATTATCTCAAGCACACTGAGTGAGGCAGAGCCACCCCCTCCCCCCCTACCCTGCGGCGTAGGTGACAGAGCCGGGGCTGGGACACTGGTGGTCCTGCTCCCTTGGGCTACCATGCCCCGGGGCTATGCCCTTGGCAGACTCATTCTTCCCCTTCACTGTCCCTGACTCTGAGACCTGGTGCATCCAGCCAGGAGACCAGTTCAGGGAACAGAATTCTGTGTGGATCATTCCAAGGGGTCAGTCCTCATCCTAGAAGGCACCCTGCCCACTCAGCCCTGTCTATATGGGGTTCTCTACCCTAAACTCAGTTTTGAAAGCTTGGGCAGAGCTTAGAAATTCATCAATTAAGCAATCAGGCGCACTCTCTTGCTGTCTCACGCACATACACCCCCCCTCCCTAAGTACCCTTTCTTTCATTTTTCATAAACCTCATTTCCTTCAGTCCCACCAAAGACCAGCAAAACATCCTATCACACTGTCCTCACCACCACTTCACAGCTCCTCCTCTTCCTCTCCAAACCCAGAAGAGAAGTTAAGGTTCACTCTGCTGCTTTACAGAGGCAGGTGGAGGGCTTGGCAGGGTGGCCAGAGCCGGGCCAGGTGATCGAGACGACCACCTGACAGCACCAGCCAGAGCAGCACAGGGGACTGAGCGAGGTCACCTTTCATCCCGAGAGTTGGAGAGGGAGGCTGTGTGGCCCCTGTTCCTGGGTCTCCTGGAGGTGGAGGAGGTGCAGGCAGGGACTGCTTTCTAGGGGGCACAAAACCTCCCTTGCTTGCCACCCTGAAGGGCAGCACTGACCAGGGACAGGCATCAGAACACACTGCCAGCAAAGCACTCCGGAGACCAGAGCTTGCCACAGAAAGGGAGCAATTGCAATTGACTTGGCCAAAATTAAATTCTTTAAAAGCCTGGCTGAGGCAGCAACCCATTCCCTTAGGCCACAGAGGACCTAATAATGGCTGATGACAAAAACAGCAACGTGCCTCAGCGCTCACTGTGTGCCAGGACCGGCCTGAAATGGGATTTCTCGCTCCATCCTCAATCCAGCCCTTGGAGACAATCAGTAGCATTCCCAATGTACAGGCACAGAGATTCGCCTCAGGTCACACAGTGAGTAGAGGGTGAAGGCCAGACCCCAACACAAGCCTGCCTGGCTCAGGAGCCTAAGCTTCAAACCCCATCCCAACAGGCCCTTCTTAGGGACTGCCCAGTGTTCCCTGCTCCATCTCCAGGCCAATGACCACCTCAGCAATGGCACACTTGGCAAACGCAGAGTACTGCAAAAACCAGTATTAATCTATCCACAAGCCGGTAATGCAGGTGTCTGCCATCATGCCCATCTCCCAGATGAGCAGACTGAGGTGCTACCAGGACTGTGAGCTGTGGTGGCCTGCTGACTGCCAGCCCAGGATTCTCTTCACTATACCAGGCTGCCGGGAAACAAGAGTTTCCTATACAGCATTCATCCAGCCATACAGGCACAGCCCATATTATGCGTGAGCCATTTTTCTAATGAAAAATGCCATTTTTCTAAGGGTTTTTGCCTAGAGGGAGAATTTGTGAGTAGAAGTGTTGCCCTCTCATGACATAACTGACCCTTCCCTGACTTTTCTTCAATCAAAGAAGCCAACTGGCCTTCCTTCCCAGTCCCTAAATTCCAATGGAGCTGATTCCACTGCCATTGGAAGTGGGTGGGTGACTTATTCCAGCCAACCAGATACTATAGTCCCTCTGGCCAGAGTGATTGGCTCCGAGACTGGCATGGGATCAAATCAGCCAATAAAAGGCTACCTCAGAACAATCACTGAGAATGCCTGGAGTCCTGCTTCACTGCCAGCCTCCAGCACTGTGGCAGCAAGTTTGGAGCTGCTGGGCCAGCCATCAGGCCCCTAAGGGAAGCCTCAGAACGAAACTAGCCTCTGGCCACAGGGCCTAGAGAGGGCACAAGAGGACACAGTTAGAGCCTCTCAATTAACTTTTACAACAGGGATCCTCAATTATATAAAAGAAAAACAATGCTTAGAGAGAAGTCATCTGTCCAAAGTCACACAGCAGGTAAATAACAAGGCTCAAGTGGAATTCAAGCCTGTGTGGTTCTGTTTCTGACTGCTTTTTGCCAGAGGTGCCTATAAACTCTGCAAAGGTCCTGTCTAGGCCTCAGTTTCCCTTCTATACAGTAGGAGGGTGAGAAAATGATGCCTAAGCTCTTTCCACAGTCTAACGTGAGGACATCTAGGGACGGGGGGGGGGTCTTGGAAAGCTAAGGGTGCTAAGATGGAGGGAGCACCCGTGGGAGTGACAGGCAAGAAGTTACACAAAGAACAAGTGGCAGTCTGTGGCCTCTGACGTCTGTTTCTCCCAC